TCTTGGAGAAGAATCTATTCAAATTCTTCACCTATTTTTGTTTTGTTTTGTTTTGTTTCTGTTGTGTTGGGGATCAAACCCAGGGTATTGTACATTCTAGACAAGAAATCTATCACTGAGCTACTCTGCCCATTTTTGATTGGGTTATTTACTTTTTTTATTTTGAGTTTTAAGAATTTTTATATGTTCTGAATATTGACCTTTATCAAATTGGATTTGCAAATATTCTCCATTTCTTTGAGTTATCTTTTCTCTTTCATAATGATATCATTTTGCAACACAATTCTTTTTTTTTTTTTTTTTTGCAGTACTAGGGCTTAAACTCAGGGCCTACACCTTCAGCCACAAAACTGGTGCCTGGCTAAAATTTTTTTGTGTTGGAATGGGCACTGATGGTTCATGCCTGTAATTCCAGCTACTCAGGAGGCAGAGATCATGAGGTTCGCAGTTCAAAGCCAGCCTGGGCAGATAGTTCACAAGACCCTATGTCAAAGAAACCCATCACAAAAAAAGCTGGTGAAGTGGCTTGAGGTGTAGGCCCTGAGTTCAAATTCCAGTAACAAATAAACTTTAGTGTAAAGTCAATATATCTAATTTTTCCCCCTCTGGTTGCTTGTGCTTTTGAGTGTCATATCTAAGAGACTATCACATAATCTGAGGTAATGAAGATTACTCTTGTGTGTTCTTTTAGGTTTTTATAGTTTTGGCTCTTGTATATGGATTATTGATCCATTTTGAGTTACTTCTTATATGCCATGTAAGCTAGGGTTCCAAAATCATTCTATTACATGTGGATATCCAGTTGACCTAGCACCATTTGTTAAAAAGACTGTTCTTTCACCCATTCAGTTGTCTTGCCAATCTTATTAACAGTCACTTGGTCTTTTCTAGACTCCATTCTACTCCATTGATCTACTTATCTGTCCTCATGCCAGTACTATACAGTCTTGATTTTTGTAGATTTGATATTTTCGTTTTCTGTGAACAGGTATTACACTTTTGTTAATTTTTTGTTGTTTTGGGGTTTGTTTTTTTCTGGGGTTTGAATCTGGGGGTTGAACTCAGGGCCTCGTGCTTGCCAGGCAGGCGCTCCACCTCTCGAGCCACAGCCCAGTCCTTTTGCTTTTAGCTTGTTTATCAGCTAGTCCTGGAACCATGATCCTTCTTACGTCTGCCTCCCATGTCCTAAGATTACAGGCATGCACCCCCACACCCTGGGTTTGTTTTTGATACAGGATTTCACTATTATAGCCCAGGCTGGTCTTGAGTGCATGGACTTCCTACCTCAGCCTCCCATGTGCTGGGATTGTAGGCATGTTCACCACAGGCAGCTCTTTTGTTGAGTTGGGTTGTTTTGTTTTGTTTTGCAGTACTGGGAATTGAGCTCTACCACTTGAGCCACATCCCCAGCTCTTTTTTTTTTTTTTCTCTGGCAGTCCCGGGATTTGAGCTCAGGGCTTTGTGCTTCCTAGGCACGTGGTCTACCACTTAAGTCACACTGCCAGTCCCTGTTAAGTTGTTTTCTAAATTTCACTTCTGAATTATTCATTGCTACTATATAGAAATGCAACTGATTTATTGTGTATTGATTTTGTATCCTGAAACTTTGCTGAATTTTCATATTAGCTCTAAGATTTTTTTATGGAATCCTTGGGATTTATCTTGTCATATGAAAATAGTTTTACTTCCTTTCTAATATAAAATCCTTTTATTTTTCTTGTCTAATTGTTCTTGCTTACAACATCAAATATAATGTTGAATAAAATAGCAAGAGTGGACTTCCCCTAAGACTATATATATATATATATATATATATATATATATATATATATATATATATATACATTGTATATTGCAGTACTGGTGTTTGAACTCAGGGCTTTGTGCTTACTAGGCAGGTGCTCTACCACATGAGCCACTCTGCCAGTCCTTTTTGTGTTGGATATTTTATGTGCAGGCTGACTTGGACCATGATTCTTCTATTTGTGCTTCCCTTTGTTGCTGGGATGACGGGCCTATCCCACCACACCCAGCCCTTGGTTGAGATGGGGGTCTCTCAAACTTTTTGCCTGTGATCCTCCAGATCACCACCTCCCAAATAGCTAGGATTACAGACTTAAGCCCCCACACCTGGCCTTTCAGTGTACTTTTCCCTTAAATGAAGTTAAACATATTTTCTTTTGTGCTAACTATATGTACATATCCCATGATCATATTTAGTGTTTTGTTATCTAATAGGGGTTAGGAAAATTAGCCCTCTGCCCTTGTATGAGTTGCCCATTTCTTCCTCTTTTTCTTGTTGTTGTCTTTTGTTTATGGTGATTCTGTCATGAATATTATCAGTCTTTAATGTGTCATTTTTTTTGAGATGGTCTGACTATGTAGCCCAGGCTGGCCTGGAACTCACTATGTAGCTCATGTTGGACTCAAACTCATGATGCTCCTGCCTCAGTGTCCCAAGTGCTAAGATTACAGTTTTGTGCCAGCATGTCCAGCTTCTTAATGTATCTTAATGTACAATATTAATATGTCTATAGGTTCTTTTATGACCTCTGAATTTTGTGTCATACTTTAAAGGCCCCTTTCCTCTTTAAGATTGTTTTAATTATTCCCCAATAGTCTTTCAAGTATTTTTCAACTTTATCAATGTACATTTTATACATAAGAACATGTACCCATTTTAATGATGGGCTTTGCTAAATGTCTATACCCATGTAACCACTAGCACATTAATGGTCGAGAACATTTCAATCAAAAGCATTCTTTCAGACCTCTTTGCCATCAGCCCACTTCATCAACACCTCCAGCTCCAGCACAAAAATACTCTGTTATTTTTTTCATTGTGTTTGCATCTGTGTTATTTCTCTTTTGTCATTATTTATTTCCTTTTTTTTTGTTTCTTTTATTTCATTTCAAAGAATCAGTTCTTGTATTTTCATATTAGTTATACTAGTCTTCTCTTTTAAAATTAACTAGCTATTCAAGTAAAATGTCTTCTTGTTGTTAAGCATCTGAATTTTTTTCTAAGTACTTCTTTAACTGATTTTCAAAGATCCTGATATGAAGAGCTCATCTCACTATGCAGTCTACATTTTTTTTGCTTTGTTTTGCATGCTTTCTTTTGATAAAATTTAGAACTTAAGTATTTGCATATTAGAGGTTACATTTATAACTTTGACTTTGTTGGTGTTTAGCATAGACTTCCTACCATGGGCAGTGATGGAATCTATATACAGACAGTTCCTGACTCACAACAGCTCTGCTTATGATCTGACCTTACAATGAGGCAAAAGCACTATGCATTAAGTGGAAACTGTTGTCAGAATTTTGAATTTATATCCTTCTCCAATCTAGTGATGTGCAGGAGAGAGAAACTCCCTCTGTCAATGCTGGGAGCACCAGTGAACTGAAACTCCTAGTCATCCTCACAAACATGAAGGGAAATACCAATACCTTCTAGTATACTGTGGGCCAGCAGTTTTGGACATTGTGTTTTCCACATCCCATCATGTCTACAAAACACCCTGTATGTGTATGCCTGAGATATTCAACAGTTCATTATAAAATAATCTTTATGCACAACTATAGGTTAATGTAAGTGTTCTGACCAGGTTTAAGGTTAATGGCACTTGGTAGGTTAGGTATATTAAATGCATTTTGACCTATGATATTTTCAATTTATGATGGGTTTATTGGAACATAAACCTGTCATAAGTAGAGGAATGTCTGTATTTCCTCTTCCCCACCACTCAATTGATTATATTATCTTCTGTAACATTTCCTTTGTTCTGTTGATTATATATTTTATTTCTGTCAGAGTCTGAAAAGCTGTAAATACATACAGACCAGGGCATGTTTGCTTTATCCTGTCTTTCCTCTGTCCCTCCTCCCTCCACCCCCTACTCAGGCAGTGCCTAGTTATCTTAGTTAGAGAAAATTAGGGCTTAGTCAATTGATTGGGTAACCTGACAGTTGCCTTCATGGTGGTTTGGGTTTTTTTTTTTTTTTGTTTTTTTTTTGACAGTACTAGGGTTTGAGCTCAGGGCCTCACACTTGCTAGGCAGATGCTCCTACCACTTGAGCCACTCCTCCAGCCCTGACAGTTGCCTTCATAAGGGACAGAAGTAAAACGTAGGCTGTGTCATAGCCTGAGATTTTTATCACAGGACTCTCATAGCATCTTGCCAGAGCCTGGGGCACAGCCTCTGACCCCTCTCCTGAGGCGCCCAGGCCAAGCTTAAGGCCCCTCCAGATGAGGGGCTCGTTATACCAAGCTCTCTGTGATTGAAACAAGACTGGGTGCATATATTTTCAAATTATCAGTTTAAGATGAAATTCTGATAGGGACCTTTTGTTTTGTTTTGTTTTGTTTTGTTTTGTTTGAGACAGGAACTCACTATACAGCCCCGGGAACGTAGAACTTGCTGTGTAACCCAGCTGGCCTCAAATTTGTGATTCTCCTGCCTCAGCCTCCCAAGGGCTGGAATTACAGCTGTGTGCCACCACACCTGGCTGACAGGGATCAAACACATCCTTTAACCTCCAGCCTGGACTACCACTCATTTATAATTGGCCTTAGCTATACTCTTTCCACTCCCCCACTGCCTTTTCTCCACTGGGCTCTTTCTAGGCTCCAGAGTTCAGATCAAAGGAAACAGTGCCACCTAGCTGAGAGAGAGCCAGCTCTGATAAGACTGATGTCTGCAGAGGTCTTTTATCTTCTAGTGCTTGAAAACCCTTTGTTTCCATTTCTGTCCTTACTGCTGTTCCTTTTCAATCCCATCACTCACACCCATCTTCCCTGGGTCTCCTTTAACTCATCAGTAACTGCTCCCACCCCTAGCCCATCACAGGCTATCATGTAATAATACATCACTTGTTCACAGGTGCAGAACAGAAGGCAAAAGAGGTTCCTTGACTCAAACAAATGAATCTATACTTAAGGCAATGATGAGAGAGGCAGGAAATGTTTCCAAAGAAGTCTTTTTGGTGCCCCAGAATCAAACTGCATTGCAATGTTGTGACAAGAAACCAGCTCCCCATTGGTAAGACAAGCAGGAGACCATGCAACACCAAATCTGGGTAGTCTTTTTGGTTCACAGGCCAAGTGATTAGTCAAACGTGGGCCTTTCCTTCCCCACTCAACCATTAGGAGTTCACATATCATCATTTACGGTTTATTTAGCTCAATGTGTCACAGCAGAGAAACCAGCATTGGGGAAGAGGGGTATCTTCCCCATGACACCTGTCATCTCTGAATATCACTTTAGGATATAAGATTAGGTCCTAAAGTCCCAAGTTGCTCAGATATTATGAATGGCAAGGGCGTGAGCTGGTGGAATGGATGCACAGAACCCCAGGGGGAGTCTCCTGAGTGTACAGTATGAGCAGTTCAGCTGGGAGGCGTTTGGCTGTTAGATAGATGCTGCGCTGGCTCACAGGAGGCTCTTCTACTTCTATCCCCTCCCGGGAAGATGACTGTTGCATATGTCACTGGCGTGGAGGACATCAGAACCTTAGGAGGCAAAGCGGGCAATGAGGATGGGGGTGGAAGTGGAGGTTTCCCTAATGGGGGATCAAGAGAGAGGTTGGTGTAGGTGGTATTGTCGAATGAAGATGGTGAGTCGAGCCTAGCATATGGTATATCCAAAGGCAATCCAGCAGTCTGTGCAGAATCACTGATGTGGTGAATGGTTGAGGTGGGGTCCTATAGCAAAAGCAGACAAATCAGGCAAAGAGAGAACACCCCCCTCTGCCCCAGTTCCCTTTGGTGGGCAGCCGAGGACCACACTGGATCTGTCTCTCAAATCCTAAGTATGTTGGAGGACAAGAGAGCTTTGCTTTGAAGACTCTCAGGCCCCAAAGCACCCCCCATATTTGAAGAGGCATGATACCAAGAGAGATCACTGGGGCCAAGTTACATTTAGGGAAAGGATTTGGACCACGAGGGGGTCGCCGTCCCCTCTCCACAACATCATTACGGGATCCCTCAGCAAGTGAGATTGGTAGAGGGTCTTGGGGATTCGGGACCTGCAGAGGCCTCTTACCATGCCTGAAACTCCACTGCTCTGGAAACGGCCACAAGCACCAAGCCTATTCCCTGGCAGACAAACAACAAACACCAGCATAGTCATTTCCAGAACTGCCTCCAAGCCCAATCCTTGCTCCCTTTAGAAGCCTCTGAGCCCTCTTTTCTAGGGCAAACTTGGGCTCACTTCCCCATTCCCACCAGTACCCCTCTACCCCTCCATCTCCTCACCCATTTACTGCTTCCAGGACTGCTGTCAGCCTACTCCTGGAGCCCTTTCCCCACCTCTTCCATCCCTTCTCCTCCAGTTCCACTGGCCCACCCTTCCTAATCCCCATGCCCACCCCCACAAAATCTCCTCCATCCCTTAGCCACAAGAATTCTAAGGTGTGAAGACTTGACTAAAATCCAAACGAGTCCCTTTGTAGGAAGACTAGACCTAGACTCCTGGGACTCCTCACCTCATCTGCAAAGCTGGTTGATAGTGGACCAGGAGAGTCAGGCTAGGGTTGGTGGATAGACAGAAACCTACCTTTTCTTCTGGCCATCACAGCAAACAACACCACAGCTGCCACCAGCAGGCCCAGCAGGAGCACAACACCCCAAATCAAGGGGATACTGAGGGACAGAAAAGGGTAAGTGGGCTGAGCTCTGCAGGAGCTGCTTTCCAGGAGCCCTGAAGCAGTGGGAGAAGAGCCAAATTCTTGGAAAACCACAGTTAAGGGGAGATGGTATGGAACGAGGAGGGCAGACTTCAGTGGTACAGAAGTGAGATACATTGTCAGAGTATCCTAACTGATGATCCAGCAGGATAAAAGGACCATTGCTGAACTGGGATAGAAAAGATGATAGATCTTCTGTACAGAAGCTCCCCAGGGTGAACAGAGTCCTGTTTCCCCTTTTGATTTAGTCTAATCATACCTTCACCACCCACTTTTCTCAGCCACTCAAAGCCAATCTTATCAGTACCTCCTCTCCTGCTGGTTGAGTTCCCAAGGACTGGCACTGCCTGCAGGGTCCAGAGCGGGGTCCTCAGCCAGATTTCCAATCTTCTGGGTCTCTTCCTCCTCCTCTCGAAGGTCAGGAACTGAGTCAAGAGATATTAATGAGTGCAAGCCCATTGTGGCCAGGCTTAATGACTTATTGAGGTCTGAGGAACTAGGGAAGCCAAGCCAAAGAAGGAAAAGTCCAGAGGAAGGAGAGGCTGGGGATGTTCCTTAGGGGCCCATCATCCTATGGACTGCGAAATAGCACTGACTCTTTGGGCCTTTACCTGGTTGTAAACATTCTCATTTTCCTTCTGCTACCAGCTCCCACCCACTGCCCCTGCATATCTTCTTCCCTTGCTCATCCCACACCATCTGGTCTCAGGCTAGATAGAAACATCACTGATTAATCTGTGCCCATCTCCCCATCCCACCACAGAACAGGTTTCTCCAGCCGTCATGCTCAGGGGTGACCCTGCTGCTGGCTCCTCCCACCACCAGGCATGCTCCACCTTCCTACCTGGACATTCCTCCTCTACAGATCCTACTCCCCTGCCACTGAAGGGTTCCCTGTATTCCACCCTCTCCCCACCAGTCTTGTCTAATTGAAATTTGACTTTTAGGAAGTGAAAACCTTGAGATACTAGACCTCAGAGTGTAAAGGAATGATGACAAAGAATAATTAGAGTCTATTTTTAGTATAAAATAATAGTCATGATCAAAGATGAGGGGAATTCCAATAACAACATGGTCCATACTCTTATTTAAAAAGAGGGTGGGGACAAGGGACAGAAGAATGATATTCTTAATTTTATTATTTGGAGACTGGACACAAATTATTTGAGAAAAAGAAGACCAAAAGATGAAAAAAAAAATCAGAATCTATAAGAGAATAGCAGCAAAGGCTTCTACTTAAGTAGCTGACATTTGTTTTTCCTTCAGAATGGTTTTTATAAGTCTTATTTTTCTAGGAAAAAATTTTGATATTTAAATTTTTATTTTAATAAATACAGACTTTTTCTAGGAAAAAATTTTGATATTTAAATTTTTATTTTAATAAATATAGACTAGAAAGATGTGAGATTTAAGACTAAAACCTGTAAAAGCAGAGAGTTTTCTAAACTGAAATTAGGACTGGGAGTTTTGGCTTTAATATTGAAGATGTTTTTCCCACCTTTAAGACTGAATGAGTTGAAGTAGTCCAGGCATTAAATGTATCCCACCTGTAGGTTGAGCGCCTACTAGACAATCAGTGAAGACTTGGAAAATTAATTAAGATATGAACTCAGTAAGCTTTAAATTATCAAACTGGTTATGGGAATAAAAAAAAACTGAAAGGTAAAAAAATTAATCTCAGTTTATATGCTCAAATTCAACCTTGTTTAAAACATTTCTAAGTAAAACAAAGACAGCATCAAGTTCGTGGAAAATGCTGGAAGAAGAAGTGAAGGCCATGGGGCAGGAAGGAGGAGATGCTGTGGGTGGGGGCGCCCACTGTGAGAGAGGGGGAGGGGAATGGCCATTCAGCTGGTTTATCTCAGGCTTCCCAAACCAGCTTAGTTTCCTCTGCAGGCACAGCTGTCAAAAGGACACTATCCAGTGCCTCCGGATGAGTCCCCGCCCTCAAGACTGCAAGAGCCCTGGCCACATGCCCCGCAGAGGGGTGGTAGCAGCTTAGGCTAACTCACCTGCGGGGAGCACCTGAAGGGAGACTGTGTGCAAGGTCTGGGGCCCCGAGGCCCCATCCACTACACAGCCATACTCCCCTGCATCCTCCTCCTGCAGGGTAATCATTTCCACCTGCAGGAGGCCCCCACCCAGGTCAGTGAGGAATATGCGCCTGCTCCCAGGGGCTCTGCGATCCACAGCTGAGGACACCAGGGGCTGGCAGCCCTCCGGTGAGAATCGACACCACACCTTCTGAGCTCTGACATCCTGGAGCCGGTAGTGGCACTGCACCAGAATGGAGCCCCCAACAGGGGCCTGAAGCACTTCAGGGAGGTTGTCAGCTGATCCCTGACCTAGGAGAAGAGAGGAGGTGGGAGTGAATGGGGGGCAGGAGTGGGGCCACCTCCCAGTTCACCCTCTGGCTTGGGGCATGGGACCTACAGCTGTGATGTGACATCCACAACAACATGGGATGAGTCCTTCCAGGAAGGGAGGTGTGGATCTGTCCAAACCTTACCTACTAGACCCAGGAAGAGCAGCAGGAGCAGGCTGGGGCCCATGGCTGGGCAGGATGTCAGTCCTGAGGTTCCTCTCCTCACTGAGACAGCAGTCTCTGGACAGCAGGAAACATCTCTCTCAGACAGTCACGTGGGCTCTCGGATGGCCACAGGGTGGCAGGCAGGGACTGGTGGGCACCTTCAGGGGTGGGACTGGGAGCTCTTCTAAGCTCTGGTTGGCTCCATGCTCAGGAACTGACCCTTTGAGAGGTATGGGCAAGGAGGTAATAGGCCAGAAGTTACAGAATAGGGTCAAGGGGTGAGAGGACTCCAGCAATTAGGGCATGAGAAAGAGGGAAGAAGACCTCTTTGGAAGACCTTCAGGGTCTCCCAAACACAAATCTGAGGAGGCAGAACTATGAAAGGGAAAAGTAAAGTGCCCTATACAGGGCCCAAGGTCATCGGATTCTCAACTCTTTATGACTGTCCTCCTCACCCAGGTTCCCAGGAGACAGCCTCTCCTGCACTACAACCTCCACCCTGATGGCGCACCTGGCACTGTGTCCTTCCTCATGTCTTGCCTGGACACTCTAGACCTTTCCTTCTGAATCCACGCTCTTCAGTTCTGGGAAACAGATTGTTTCTCTTGACAGTAGCTTCTCCATATTCTTTTCTTTTCCTCCCCATTTGCATGCAACCTGCTAATTAGTTGGATGGACTCTTATGTACTCATTTCATTCTGGCAGCTTTTCTCTCCCACTGTCCATCTTTCTGTCCATTCTGTTCTGCCTTCTAGGCGATTTCCTCATATTTTTCTTCCATACCTTCTATTGTTGTCTTTATACTTTTTATTCCTTAATATTTATAACTCACAAGGTCTCTTTTTTATTCTCCAAGCATTCCGTATTTGTGGCATACTATTTTTGCCTCATGAATGCTCTATCTTCTCTGCTGAGAGACAGTTCTCCATAGATATTTTATTTTTACCCTTCCTCATGATCAGGCCTTGTGAGCGAAATGCTGACCTAGCTTTGCTCAAGTGTGATTGAGTAGAAAACACGCCTAGAAGACAGAGATGGTGGGACATCAAGAGATTTGCTGACATTCTTCCCTTTCCTCCCTGAGTATTTATATTCCAAAGTAAAGCTTCTCTCTCTCTCTCCCCCACCCTCTCTCTCTCCTCCCCCCCTTTCTATCTCTCTCTCTCCATTGAGAAAGATGAGCCAATGCGTCGGTTGTACCAGATGATCTCTGTGAATGGCAAGTCCCATAATTTGGGGTTCCCCTCCTGAGATTCAAACCCACTGCCTGCACAGGAAGTATCTGGTCTTCACTCATGAGACACTGGGGTGGTGGTGGGGGGGCTGGGCTCTGGGAACCATGGCAGAGTAATAAACTGACTTTAGGCATCAGCTATTTGAGGAACTAGAGTGATCTGTCGGGATGTATAAAAGGGGCATGCTGCATGATCTTGAGGATGAAACCTAGAAAAGGAAATGATGAGCCACCCTCCTGTGCTCCTCTCCCCTACCCTCTCTCCTTCGCCCTCTCCTTCCTTCCTTCAGGCACAGGGAGTAGATAATGGGAAGCTGGGAGCAGCAGCCTGAGATGGCTGGCTAGTGTGCTAAGCTGAGCCTAGTGGAAGTGTGTGATAGGGTGACCAACTCTTCCTGACAGGGACTGAGAGGCTTCCTGGGACCTGGAATGTTTTGTGCTAAAACTGACCAAGCCAGTACTTTTAACTGTCTTGCCAGTACACATCAGGTTTTCTTTGATTTCCTCACAAGGAAGTTATTTTCAGATTAATAAACCAGCTGGGGGGTGCTGTGTGGAGCTAAGAGCCACATTCAACATTTGCCTGAGTCCCTCAAATGAATGTGGTCCACAGCAGGGTGAAGGGGCCGATCAGGATCCTGGCCTCTACGGAGGAAGCTGATGGCTGCTAAGGAAACTCTGTGCCAGACACCTGGCCAGTGACTTTCACAAATTTTATTTATTTTAACCTCACAAAACCTTGGGAGGTCGTCATGGAGAGTGTCGATTGATTGGGTTTTGTTTTGTTTTGTTTTTTCCCTATTGGGTTTTTTGCAAGTGAGGACACTGAGCCTCAGAGGGGTTGAGGAGGCAGAAGTGGAACTGAAACCCAATGACTGACCTCTCCTCCAGTCCAGGGCACGCCCAATGTCCAAGGCAGGACTCCCATCCAGATGTGAACGTCTCTGACACAGCAGAGCAGGAAAGCGCCTAGGCCAAGTTCCCAAGAGGAGCACAGCTGCATTCTGGGCTGGGGCCTGGGACGGACTCCTTGCTCAAAGCACACCTCAGGGAGCCTCCCGGGCCCATTTTATCAACCTTGGTGCCCTTGATGGGAGCAGATGGAGAGGGCTCAGCTCAGTCTTAGCATCTAAACTTGGCCTTGGATCTGTGAGGATGAGGCAACTGCCTAGGGCACAATGAGGAAGTCTAAGGTGCTGCTGAGTCAGAAAAGCAAAAAAACCCACCACACATTGACCCAGAGTCGCAGAGCTCCAGGGAAGGGACCAGTGGAGCAGCCTAAGTGGTGGGGGGAATGAGGCAGGGATGGGGAGAGGGGCTGCTGTGCTGAGTGAGGGTGGAACATGAGTGCTGTAGTGAGCTCCCTCCCAGGGACTCCATGCCCAGGACAGGTGGCCATGACCAGAGGAGCTCCGGGCATCCACGTCTGAGGCCCCGTAGAGAGCCTGGCAATGGGACTGGCTTGTTTTCCTCCTCTTCCCCACAGTTCATGCTCAGGGAGGCTGCAACCCGGATTCCCCCACTCTTGCCCAGGGTGGTGAGCATGATTGAAGGAAGAAACGAAATCCCAGAGCTGCCCTGGCTGTTCCCTCTGCCCTGAACTGTCTCCCCTTTATGTCCTCATGGTTCATTTCCTCACCTCCTTCAAGTATTTCTCATTTGACCCCTTCTAACCACCCTGTTCAAAATGGTGCCACCCTGTGCCTTCACACCAATACCCTTCACCCTCTTTTGTTTTCATTTTTTCCTCAACATCTTTTCCCTGCCAGCAAAAGATGTTTATTATGTGTTTCACATTCCTCCCACTAGAACTCTAGAACTCCTCGTGGGCAGAGAACCCTTTGCCAGTCTTGGTCATTGTTGTACCTCCAGTGCCCAGAATGTTGTACCTCTAATGCCCAAAATTGTACCTGCCACAGACTAGATGTTCAAAATAAAAATTGTTGAAAAAATGAATGAGTAGGTTCGAGCTCCAGGAAAGGGTGCCTTGAATGCCAAGTGAAATTTGGATTTCCAGACTCTCCTGGGGATCTTGGGCCAGCCCCTTCCCCTCTATGAGCCTCAGTTTCTTTTCAAGACATTGAAGGATGTGGACTATCCATCCCTAGCTCTGATGTGCTGTACTATGGCATGACTCAGCCCTTGTCATATCTCTTAAGGGAAGTGACAGATAAATGCACAGTTGGAGGAAGATGAGACGAGTCAGTGGGTTAGTGGCCTTGGGTGGTGGGAGCAAGGGGTCAGTGGAGGGGGCTGAGGCTGGGAGGGGGACCCGCAATAATCCAAGGAAAGCCAGTGGAGAGAATGATACGGAAAGGAGTGGAGCAGATGACAAGATATTCAGAGAAGGGGCAGGACTTGGTGAAGGCATCTAGGGAATGGAGAAGAGAGGATGAAAAAAGACTGAGCAGATTGGGGCATCGTGCCCTTAGACTCTAGGCTCTAAGCAGCAAGATCCTGTATCTTTTCCTCATGCAACTTATTCTCCTAGTCTGGAAGCAAAAGAGGCTTCGCAAAGCCCAAAATCACCCAGCAAACAGGAGTTTTGGGTTGTGAGTGTTTAATGTCCAAAGCCTAGAATTTGGCAGGCGACCTCACACACACACCCACACACACACACACACACACACACACACACACACACGCACGCACAGGTACACATGTCCCAAGCCCGGGGGTAGCAGGCTGTGGGAAGAGTGGCATCTTGCCAGAACAGAACCACGAATCTTGGTGGTGGGGAAGAGTGTGCAGGCTGGAGTGGCCCCTGGGTGGACCTTTCCCAGGCTTCTCCTCCCATCCAGGGTCCTCTTCTTTCATGTGTCCCTCGACCCTGCAACAGAGAGGACTCAGTCTCTCCCATCCCTGCCAGGTCACCCCCCCCCCAACCACTGCCACACTCTCCCAGTCACCTCTCAGGGTCTGGAGCTGGTGTCTGAGGTAGTGGCCACAGTCCAGCCCACTAGCTGGAGGTGTCCCCAGCTTCTGCCCACGCCAGGCCACAGCCCAGAGGACACTGGCTGCAAGAAGCTTGCTGAGGAAGATGCAGATCAGGAGGAGGAGGATGGAAGTGGGCAGGAAAGAGGTCTCTCCTGGGAGGCTCCTTGAAGAGAGAAGGAGGGCAGGTGGGAGTCTGGCAGTGACCTACACACTAGAATTTGCTCTTAGAGAAAGAATGGGAAGAAACCAGGAGCTTCTAGGGAGTTGGGGGACTTCCCTACCCAGCACCATGGCTGGGATGGACTTTGTGAGGCTAGGGGGAGACTGCAGTTAGTTCTAGGTATGGATCTGCTTCCAACCTGCTAAGTGGACCCTAAACACATCACCTTCCCTAGCCACCAAGCAGTGTTCCACTGTCTCCAGTAGTATGCTACAGTGTGTGGGGAGGGGGTACTGAACAAACAATGTTTAAATTCCAGTACACAGGCATGAACCAGTCAGAATGGATTCTACCAAAGGGACAGGGTCTTAGGGGACCAGGTTTTGTACTGCAGTATTGAGTCTTCCACTGTTGCTGAAATGAAGGTCTCTGGGGGCTGCCAGGAGCACTGGGAGGCTGCCTGTCCAGAGACTTGCAAAGAACAGCTCCCCTTATAGACTGCTGTGGAAGTTCAGTCTCCCAGACACACTGACATATGCTAGCTGGTTGGAGAAGTGTGTGAACAAGACCATATCCAGATCCCTCACCCCCTAACCCCATGCTGGGCTCTGCAAGGTGGAAATCTGCCCTGAGGTCACTGTACCTAGAGATGCTGTGCTCCACGCGGGCCCCCTCTACGATCTCTGACTCCTCAGGAACCCAGAGGTCTCCAGCATCCTGGTGATTCTGGGGGTCTGTGGGAGACAGAGCCATGAGATCCCAGCTCCCTCCCTCAGAGGGCTCATTCCCTTGGGATGGAAGAGAACTCCTGTAGGTTCAGTGAGGCCCTCTCAGGCTCCAGTTCTGTGTGGATCAGCCATTAACTTTGTGAGCCTCACTTTCCTCACTTGCAATTAGGAATACCCTCTCTTAACACGGAGAGAAAGGCTCAACGAGATCATCTCTGCTAGTGCCTGGCACCACACAGAACTCAGAAATACTGCTCCCTCTCTGTCCATCCAGTCTATAAAGAACAAATGAATAATGGGAGGGTCTAAAAATTCTCTGTCAATTGTCCAGCTGTCTACACACTATGGCAATGGGAATTGCTGCTGTATTACTATTTTCTTTCCGTTCTTGGGAATCAGCTGAGCCTTAGACCACAATAAGGAGGAACTTCCGGTCTCTTCATCCCCTTCCTTGGAAAGTGTAGGTGGAGTTTATGTGCAGGCTGAAGTCGCCTTGGCCTCCCCACCTTAAGCAAGTAATACTCTAGACCCTCACTTCCATGATACGGGCCTTGGTAGGAAATAGGATCTGGAACCCAGAGCTGTTTCCATCTGTGACACAGATAGAGACCAGGCGGAAGGCTTTCCTGGAGCGTGGTCCCTGCGTGATGCTCGGGAACTCCGATGGAAAGGAGCGACACTTGGCTCCCTCCTCAAGCCTGGGGAGAGGATCCCAACTGAGTTCAGAGCAGAAGGCTGGTGGTGGTGACTCTCTATCCCCTCTCCCATGCAACTGCAGAAGCCCTGGAATCACCACCCCCATCCCCACACTCTGCATCCTTACCCGCAAAGGGCGGAGGATGGAAGCCAGGGTCTTGTGCATGCTAGGTAAGGTTCTACCACCGAGCTGGGCTCCCAGCCTCATCATCTCTTTTTAAAAATGAGGTAAGGAAAGCCCAGAGAAGTGAGCACCTTGACCGCACAACAAGCATTCCTTTGTTGGGGGTCGTTTTTCTGCATCAAGTTGGTGCTGAATTTGAGTTGGGGGGGAGGCGTCCATTGGCCCCTACGGTGTTCACATACTAACAGGATGGCAAATAAAGTGGCTTGAGGCAGCAGGGCTTTTTTTTTTCGGGGGAGGGGGATTAGCAGCACTGGGGTTTAAACTCACAGCCTTACACTTGCTAGGCAGATACTCTACCACTTAAGCCAGGCCCCAGCCGATCAGACAGTGTCTTAATGCAAACTAGCAAAAGATCCCCTCTCTGCAGGTGATAGAGCTCTGGACCATGCAATGCAGGCTGGCAAGAGTCTGGCTGGAGTGGAGTTCCTTTGTGCAGTGAGCAACCTGTACAACAACCCATGAGACCCACCCTAAGGACCTTTCCAAGGTTTCCAAGAGCCCAGAAGGTGACCTACACACAGAGGCCCAAAGCATGAGGCCCCACCAAAGGACAGGCCAGAGGTGCAGCCAGCCACCCACCTTCCAGCACCTCCACTAGGACCTTCTGGAGTGTGTCAGTCTCGTGGCCTCGGAGGCTCTGGCACTGGTAGAGGCCTGCATCATGGGCTTGCAGATTCCGCAGTGTAACCGTGAGGGTCCCAGCCAGGGCATCATCTGTGATGACTGTGCTCCCATTCCGCTTCTTTAGGAAGGCCAGAAGCCACAAGCTGTGCGTGCTGACCACACGCTGACACAGGCCCTTCTCATCCAGCTGGCGGCACCAGGCCTTGCGTCGCCCCCAGTGCTTCGCAGAGTCATAGGGACAGGAGATCCTCAGGGAGTGACCCTCCACACCCTGCAACACTGTGGTGTTGGAGGCACTGGACAGTGCTGGAGAGGAGACATTCATTCACCCCTTCGTCCACTCATCATTGAACACCTACTGTGTGCAGTGAACCAAACAAAAAACCCTGCCTTTGAGGAGCTTAGGTTCTCTATAATTTGGGGGAAGTTAGCACAGCCCACGCATGTGTTTATGGGAAGCTGGGAACCAGGAAATTTGGGTCTTAAGTCTAGTTTTCTCACTGTTGGAATTGCTGGACATCCTTGGAAAGTAACTGCAGAGAGACACTTGATCTTTAAGCCCCTTTATTTCCATTTTGCACATCTTCTCCCTGTTGTATGAGACCAGACCATCTCCTCTCCCCTCTCCATCTCAAGGGAGCAGAGCTGGTACCCTCTCAGGCCTGGGGTTGACGCCCCAGGGGCTACACTGGACTCTTCCCTGCCCAGGCCATGCTTGCCTGCTCTATAGTTATCCACACTGGCACTGACTCCGCATTCTCCTTTTTCCTGACCTTTAGCTCCCAGCTTCTCTATTTTTGTGGTTTTGTTCCCCTTTCAAGAAGGACTTGTCTCAGAGCTATTTTGGTGGAGACATGAGGCTGCTATTTCAGGGCTCCTCTTTGGGGTGGAGAAGGGCTTTGAGCCCCAACCTGTTGCCAGGGCAGAAGCTACAAGGAAATCAACAGAGCCTCCTGCCTTCCTCTACCCTGTTTCCAACCATCGCTGTGATGAAGATGTGAAAGACAGGACTGAGGAGCTGGTGGCTTGCCCTTTGGAACTGGAGAGTCCCAACATGATGTGATGCACAGTGTCCTCTTCACACCTCAGCCTGCCCCTCCCTCTGCCTGCGGGCAAGTGGTGCACCTCACTCTCCTGCACCTCCACAACTGTGGGGCCAAGACTCTGGGTACAGTCTTTCTTCTCACCCAAGTTCGCCCATTGCCCTTGGGAAGCAAGAGGTGCCCACCCCCAATGGGAAGAGGCAGTCACATGCAAGATTTGGGATGCCCATGTCAGGGGCAGAAACCTTCACCTTCCATCAAGAGCTAAGGTCACGAAGGCCTTCCCAGTGTGCGATGGGTGCCTCAAGGGTGAAGATCACAGTCCCAGCGTCTTTCCTCCTTTCCTCCCTCTCTCCCACCCTCCCACTCCCCAGGAGCTGCTCTTAGGTTTACACGGTTCATAATTTTAGGGGCTTTTACAGCACCCCCAAGCCTCCCCCAACTACCAAGTAGTGCCTGAGATACCTCAAAACTCCTTTCCTCCCCACATGACTAGAGTCCACCAGCCCCTAACCTTCTACACATGTGAAATTTGACCTATGCAGAAATTTGATCCTGGGGAGGGCAGTGCTGCAATACAGGACACCTGGGCATGCCAGAACTTCTGCCTCCTTCACAGCTCCGCTCAGTGCCCACCTCCATTCCCACCCCAGCCTTCTGCTCAAGGAAGGAGACAGAAAGGAGGCATCGCAGCAGAGTAAGTTTCCTACCTGTGATGAAGAGCAGAATGAACAACTGGAGAGGCCCCATGCCACTTGTCCCAGTCCCCAGCCAGGGGAAGACACAGGGTGCCTTGTGCAAGATCTAGTCTTTCCCTTGAAGTGCAGAAAAGAGAGACCCAGGCACGTCAGGCGCTGCCCACAGGAACTGGGCTCCTGCATATTGAGCAACCGTCAGGACTGGGGTCTGGCTCTATGATTCAGGGAGGGAGTGGGGGTGGGAGAGAAGAGCAGACGCTGCAGCCTTGGCTGGAGGAGGATCCCAGATTTCTGAGAGGCCAGCTGCCCTCATGCCAGTGCCAGCCAGTGTGGCCCTGCATGGCTGGGGCAGGTCATGGTCTGAGGCTGCTCAGTCTCTTTGCAGAGCCTTGCCTGGGGTCACTACCCTCTACCACTGTAGTTCCTGTCATCTTCTAACTCCACTCTCTCAAGAGATGGAAAGAAACTAATCCCCTGGGAGGCCAGGACCCTCCCCAGCCCCTTCTAGTCCTTCCCTCCAGTAGGATCTGTTGAGTGAAGCACCAGCATGGATCCAGAACCAGACTTCCTCCCTCCTATATGTGTTACCCACACACCCATACTCCCTCTCTGCCTTATCTCCCACGTCTGTATAATGGGAACAATGGTAACACGCAGGATTATCAGGAGAATAACATGGTTCCCACGAGTAAAGAACTTTCAGACAGGGCCTCATGCATAGAGAGCACTCAACAAGCAGTTAAGTTGCTATCGTCCTAGTTAGAGGCTGAGGAAGATGCCCTGTGCACCTGGAATCTCCTGCTCAAGTTTAGCCTCCTTTGACCAGCTGGGTGTCTCCCGTGTGCACTCGCTGACACTGGCATTTATTCCATGCAAGCTACACCATGAACTTCTGAATACCCAATGGGACAGACCAGGACTCGGGCACTTCCTGGAGTTCTGGGGGCAGGGTAGGGTTCCACAAGTGCAGGTCCCCATGAAGGATGATCCAGGCATAGGGGATCCTGAATATGCACACAGGTGTGAAGTGGCCCAGTGAGTCAGGGATGGAGCTGGGGAGGCATTCCCAGAGGCAGGAATTGAGTTGCACTTGGGAGTGATGGAGAGAGAGACTGGGGACCCGGCAGGGGTCTTGTTCTTCATTCTCATATCCACTCTTTTCTTGTCTCTCTGCATGGGCTGTGTGACAGGGAGTGCACCTGAGGTGGGAGTTCACGATGAGCAGGAGATGGTCCTCCCCAGCAAAGCCAAGTGCTCAGCCTTGACCTAACACCTTGGGGTTTCTAAATCACTCTACATATACCCCTTCTTGGCTGTTTTTCTACAAGCCAGACTTATTGGTGTACAATTTATAAATTTTTTCAATAATAAAATTTTATTGAAAAACCAACAGGAAATAGGGAACCATTGTTGTATACCTTATAAAATCAAACATAGGTACATTATCTAGGGAGAGTCAATGAACTTTTTGTGAGAAAACATAAATTCAGGAAGCTATATAAATCATCAGTGTAGCTTTCTTCTGCAAGAAGCAACCGTCTGAGAGCCTGGTTTTTTCTCCTGTAGACTGGCACAGAGCTGTTGAACAATCCACACAAAGAACCACTGTTTGAGCATGGTTGAAAACCCTGGTAATCTCAGCCACCTGGACATTTTACATCCATTAAATATTAATTTGGACTTTGAACTAGCTGTTTCTTTTTTTCCTTTTTTTTTTTTTTTTTTTGCTTTTTCTTTTTTTCTTCCAAAGACAGATGAAGTAAATCTCTAGCTAAAGTCATGTGGTCCTAACCCATCCTGATTGCTCAGGCGACAGCCACCTCCAGCGAGCAGCACACAATCAGGCGCCCAGCACCAACCTGATGTACAATTTATATGCAAAAAAAAGTCACCCTTTTGAGGCATGCAGTTCTATGCACCACAGTCACCAGCTCTATTAACAGACACAGCAACACAGAGCGTTGTCATCAGCCCCACAAGCTCCCTGGTGCCCCTCTTAGCCAATCTCTCCCTCTCCAGTCCAGGCCCTGACAACTACCCATCTGACTTCTGTTCCTACAGCTTCCTGCTAGTTGTAGAGTGTCTTGTACAAGGAACCATATAGTGTGTAGCTTTTCAGGTTCATGTTCTTTCACATTATAATGCACTCAACGTGCAGGAAGCTGGTTTCTCAGTCATTCACTATCTTTCAATGTAGACTGTATTTCCAGGCCACAGGGAGTTAATCCACTCATCTGCTGATGGACATTTGGGGCAAATGAGTAAAGCTGTGATTGTCATTCATATATATAAGTATGTCATTCATTCATACATATATATATGAAGATAGATAGATAGGACATATGTTTTCATTTCCCTTGAATAAATCTAAGGAATGGACATGCTAGGTCATGCATGTTGTAGGTATATGCTTAGCTCCATAAAGGACAAACTGTCTTCCAAGAAGCTTGCCAACACTTGACAATGTCAGGTTTTTTGTTCTTTGTTTTTGAGATAGGGTCTCTCTATGTAGCTGAGGCTGCCCCAAAACTCACCAGGTAGCCCAGGCTAGCCTAGAACCTGCAATCCTCCTGCCTCAGCCTCCCAAGAGCTGGGATTATAGGCATGTACCAACCTGCCTGGCTTTATTGCCAGGTTTTTAAATCTTGTGTGTGTGTGTGTGTGTGTGTGTGTGTGTGTGTGTGTGTGTGTGTTGTGGTGGTGGTGGTGGTGGTGGTGGTGGTGGTTGGGGATTGAAATCAGGGCCTCATGTACAATAGGTAAGAGCTGTAGCACTGAGCCATACCCCCACCGGTGTTGGGATTTTTAAAATGCCTTTGTAGTAGGTTAATGGTGATACCTCATTATGGTTTTAATTTGTATTTTCCTAATTATTAATGATGTTGAATATCTTTCCATTGTTTATTTGTCATCAGTATATCCTCTTTGGCAAAGTCTTACTTTAAATCTTTTGCCCACTTATTTTTATCATTATTATTAAGTCATTAGAATTCTTTATATTTTCTGGATACCAGTCCTTTGTCTCCTATGCTGTTTGCAAATACTTTCTTCCAGTCTGTCATTTCTTTTCTCACTTCCTTAACAGTCTCTTTCAAATAGGTAGATTTCAATACTAGTGAGTCCAGTTATTAATTTCTATGAGTTATACTTTTGTGTTTTACTAAGAAATTTTGCCTTCCTCAAAGTCAAGATTTTCTATGAAAAGTGTTACCATTTTAGGCATTACATTTTGGTCTGTGATCCAGCTTTCAGTTAATTTTTACATGTGGTATAAGATATTTTGCAACACTTTTTTCTTTTGTACATATGGAGATCTAGCTATACCAGCAGATCTCCTTTGTTTATTGAGTTGTCCTAGTATCTTTGTTGAAAAGCAATTGACACGTGGGACTGTTTCCTATCTGTCCCATTCCACTCATCTGTTTGCTGTCATTTCACCAATATCATAGTCCTAACTAGCTAGTCTTGAAATCAGGCAGTGGTTCTCCAAGATGGTTTTGACCATTCCAGTTACTTTACTTTTGCTGTGTAAGTTTTAAAATCAGCTGGTGAACTTCTATGCCTTTCTCCTCCCACCACATACACAAAGGCCACCAGGCTTTTAGTTAGGACTGCACTGAGACTGAGTCTATGGCTACATTTAGGGAGAAAGAGACCTCCCAACACTACTGGGGCCTGCACTCCATGAACACAATTTAGCTCTTCATTTATTTATTTCCCCTACAGTTTCTCTCTTCAGTGATTTCTAGTTTTCAGCATACAAATCTTGCACAAATTTGTTACACTTTTACCTAAACAGTTCATGATTTTTGGTGCCATTTTAGGTGTGCTTTTTGGGGTTTTGTTTTATTTTATTTGTTTGTTTTGCTTTGGCTATCTTAGGCAGAAGCAGAACTCAGAGGTTCCATAAATGTTTATCCTAACTTTCTAGTCCATTTATGTTTTTATTCTGTCTCCTTCTCCCCTTTCCTTCCTACCTGAGGAAAGAGTCTTTTTATTTCTTTAAACCCCATAGTGAAGAGTGGGCATCAAGAAATATTCACCAATTACTCACAGCACATGCAAATCAAATGGTCCCTTCTTTCAGCTTGTGCCAATGTGTGTTCAATTCCCAGACCTTCATATGTGAGCACTCGCTCCCAAGCTCAAGGTCTTTCCTGTCCCTTTGCTAAATCCAAGTCCAATGATACCTTCCAGTTCACAACAGGACACAGAGATATTTTCCCTTGAGCATTACTTCTGAGCCAGTTTGTGTGCTTGGAGGACTCAGGCCTCTAGGAGCCTTAGCATTCCTAGATATGTTGGTGACCATTGCTGAAACATCCCAGAACCAGAAGGAGACTAGCCCTGACATGACACCCATGGGATATTAGACTCCTGATGTCTAACTTGGGCTGGGACCTCACAGCTTCTGAGCAATCCTTTTCAGAATTCCTGGAGGCTCCCTGGTAAACTCCCTCCAGAAGCAGTTCCAAATGGTCACCTCCCCAACCATACCCTGCCCCCTACCTTTCAGGTTCTCCATTATCCCTATCCTCACTCCAGCAACCAGAGAAACCAAGGGAAGCACCCACTTCCTGTCAGGACCACGTCCAGCACCAGCACCTGTGCTGGCTAGGGGAGGTGTAGGACTGGAGACTCCTAAATGGAAACAGGCCTCTCGGACTCCATCAGGGGACAACACAAGCCCCCACCCAGCCTAAGAAGTGGGTTTGAGGGGGTGATTGTGGTGTCCAGTCCGCCATTGGCTGAAACACCAACCACAAACATCAGAGCCCACAAATGTCATTCATGATATGCAGCCATACAAGACTTTCTTTCCCAGGTCCTCTTCAATCCTGCCCTGCTTTTAGTTAATCTCAGCTTCCTGGATCCAAATCCCTGCCTCCAAATCCCCACCTTCAAATCCCTGCCTCCATCCCACCTCTGACTCTTCCCTTCCACCTCTTGGTATTTGCACCACCATCCTCTGACATTTCCATTTCAGGTGGCTCAGCTCATAATTTCTAAGGAAGGATCTCAGCTTCTGTTCAGGATAGGGAAGGACATTTCTCTCTCTCTGGCTGTTCCCCTATGTCCTTTGTGATATCCTTTATAATAAATGAACAAATAGAAGTAAGGTGT